GGGGGGAGATGGGCGGGGATAAGTTTGATAGATAGATAGATAGATAGATAGATAGATAGATAGATAGATAGAATAAAAAGCAAAGTAAAATCACTTGCTCCCAAAGCAATCATTAAAACCATTCTTAAAGTGTCACAGAGGATAAAGAGTTTTTCCTCTAGTGTTTCAAATGAGTCCTTCTGGGCAGCCATGCCGTAGCAGGGGAATTCCATGGCGAGCCTTTGTATCCTTTGGCAGTGAAAATTGGAGGAGAGCCTTGGATAACCATCTTAAGTTCCAGACAGCCAAATAGGGATAGCAATGCCCCCCAAATTATTCCTGGCTGTAGAGCTTAAACCACTTTAAACTGATCCCTCCTAAGGCATATCGTTAGGTACAGTTTTGGTGGACTACCTCCAGAACAATACTACAGCAACAGAATAAGTAGAGGCAGGATATGCTTAGTGCTGGAAGAACACTTTCAAACAGTTTGTGGCAATCAGCAGGAATTAACAGGTAATAGCACTGGAACTAGGGGAGGGGAGATCATGGGAACCACAGTAGCAAGGTTCATGTAACATGCTGGTTTAGGCTAAAATAGATTAGAATATGATAGCATGTTGTGTGAACCAGAACCATATTAAGTCGTAATGTGGTGTGATTGCTTGGGCATAGCATGTTATGCAAACTAAGCAGCTGTGTTTCATTAATCTTGGTTTAGTATGCTAGTTAGTAGCATAGGGTGCAAAAGAGAGAAAACCCTTCCTCACCAAAGTAACACATGTAATTTCAGTTGTGAAGCAACATCTTTTGTTGTGAGATCTGCTTCTAAGATTTGCACTGCTCTAAACCTAGTGAAGCCTCAGGCTTCTGCATTTCAAGTGATCATTCCCCATAAACGTCTGTTTTAATTATTCTAACAGCGGTATGCTGTAGTCTTGATCCTAACTGCATGGCTGGAGAAGAATTCTCTGTTTCCTTAATTCTGGCAAGATTAAGTTTCAGCTCATGCTTAATTGATAAGATCTGCTTACCATAGCCATTTCCAGTGAGATGGGATGCCCTCCTAGGTCTGCTGAAACTGCTACAGCTTTGGGAATTGAGCATAGAGTATTAGATGGAAACCTGTTCTGTTCTGAGGGGTTTATATTTTGAGATGTTCCAGCAGCACCCTCTTTATCATTATCAGATTTGCAGTCTTGGTATTTCTGTAGAAAAATATGAAGAAAGGGACAAACAGAAACAAGACACCATTTTTAGCTGCAAGGTAATAAGGTTTTCATGTTCTTTACAACCACGGGTTGAAAATGCAATTCTGCTTTCAGATGCATCATCTTAAAAGAGAGGACAGTAATGTAAAGGCAAAGAGTACTGTTACTTTGCAGAAAGTACAATTTATACAGTAATAACGTGGTAACTATTATACTTCGTTAGCTTGAGCAAATTTCCTTAGAAGCAAATTCCATTGAAATATTTAGGGTTAGGAGGCTCAGAATGAGCTTTCACAATTATCCCTGAGCTATATTGTTCCATTTATATTCTGATTTATGCATTATAATATATAGCAAACTTAATTAGTTAAAAGTAATCAACTCATGGTATTCCCAAGCATACAGGGCAGTTTTAGTTTCTGTATTAAGAAATAAAAGACAAATATTAGTGTTACTTACTATTTGATTCCTCTTTACTTCCTCCTGCAATATTTCTATATAACTCAACCTGGAATCTACCCATCTTTTGAGCTGGCTTAGCTTTAATCTGCTATCCATAACTAACAGATAGAATGAAAGACGTCACAAGTTATCAAGTGACTGGTGGCACTTTAAAAGGAGAAGAGACTTAGCACAATATTCTGGACTACCCAAGAAGAGTAATCTTATTTAGAAATAAATGTTAAAGCAACCATGATACAAATAACCCTAGAAATAGAGATATGGTCTTGATCCAGAAATCCTGAATGATCCCCCTTTGTCCACATAAGTTAATGGTTATTTTAAATAGTTCTTTTTCTGTTTGCTTTTCAGTCAAGGATGATTGTGAGCCATGCAATATATTTGATGTATATGGATAATTCAGAACATAAAAGCAATTACTGCATTACTTTGTATCAATTTTGCTATTTTTTCTAAAACGGCCATGTAAGTGGTTTATACATCTATTCTGTCAATATTTGTTCCAATCAATTAAACATTGGTTGGTTCAAAAGATTTTTGGATGGATTTTTTTTTTTAAATGAACCGTGCTCTTGCCCTGATCCAACACCAGGAATCCATCCATCAAATTTCAAAGTAGCTCTGAGTGATAAATGTGT